TCCTGTTCTCAGTGACGGAGCTTTTTGCCTGTGACTTGTCAAAATTCAGGTCCTCAGAGACACACATGTACTCCCACTCCACAGCACCCATTATTATGGGTGTTATTTCAGCTTTGGGTCCCAGGCAGATCCGTTGTGTGACAGTCATGGTCTGTGTGTCCCTGCTGCTCTGGAGGAAGGGTTTCTGCAGCCCTTCCTGGCCAGCGCACTCTGCTCTTCCTTTTTCTCCAGTATGTGGGTACTCCAGATAGGTTTGAAATGCATGCTGTGAATGCCGTCCAGCAACCAAAGGCAGAAATACTTACATTCAACTGCTAATTTCTTTTCATTATTATTATTTCCCAGATTTTTAAAGAGCGTGAGGAAGACTTGAAGCGCCTTTCCCGTCCCTTGGAGTGTGTTTGTTTTAGAACTTCCATCTGGGATGAAACACTTTACAAGGTTTGTACGGCTTCATCTCCGTATCTGCTTCCCCCTCTCCTACCTGAAAACAAGAGCATGAGGAAGAAGAATGGTTAATTGCTGCTGGTTTATTAGTGACTGGCCCTTTTTAGTGCTGCAGCGACTGCTTCTGGAGGTAAATACCAGGTCCTTGTTAAATAGGAGACACAAATCCCACCCTGACTGCTGAGGGAGCATGTGGTCAGGTACCGACACCAAACAGGTGGGCAGGGAGGTGATGCTGAGCTCAGCAGTGTCCATCTGCACATTGACCTTGCTCAAGTTTAAAAAAAACTCCAAAAATGTGAGTGGGTTTGTCTGGGAGCAGTGGAAGCGTGGCCAGCTTAAAATTAGGATGATTTAAGCCTGTTTAATAGTATTGTAGTTTCTCTGTCACTTATGTGGAGAAGACCTTGACCTAGTGAAGAGTTTACTGAGGTCTAGGGTACCACTGGTGGTCTCCACTGTAGTAGAGATACCTGGTCGTGGAGGTAGGAGAAGATTCTCAGGCTTGCCTAGGCTATGACAGCCTGAACTGCAAATACTGTGATTTTGGGGCACAATTCATGAAAAGAGGATGAGGCAGAGAAGTGCTCATGCACCTTGATGTGTGTTTTTCTCGACAGGCCTGGTCCAGTATAGTCTATCAGCTGATCCCCAATGTCCAGCAGCTGGAGATGAACCTGAGGAACTTTGCTCAGATCATCGAGGCAGACGAAGTGCTGCTGTTCGAGAGAGCCACTTTCCTGGTGAATACAGCAGCTGTGTCCCCCAGGTCCCTCTGCCCAGCCCAGGATGGTGTTTCCCGCAACGGAAAGCGCTGTTGTGGCCATAGCCCAAAGAGAGGTGTCCGTGCTGGATGGCAGAACACATTGATCCGAGCCTTGTGATACTGAAAGTAGCTGTTGTGGTTCATGGGACCTTCCCAAAATTTCCAATCCTAGCAGTTGAGCTGAGGGCTCGATCAGTGTTTTCCTCTCCCAAGCCCTGAGGAGGTTTCATATCCCCATTCTGTTGTCGGCCATGGGACTTTTTTGAGAATTTCCTTCTGCACAGGACAAGAACCTGCCTTAGCTCAAAATGAGCCTTTTTGGTTCCTCCTGGCCTGGCACTTTCACTGCTCTTGGCTTATTTTTTTACATCTGATGCTCTGCAAACCCAGAGTATGGAGGGCAGATCCCAAGCCATTGGGTTGCCATGGCTTTCCCAGTTACTGGCTGTGTGGTAACTGCATTTGCAATCCACTGGTCCTGTGAATATGTCAAAGCTGCTGTTGCTGCTTGTGCCTCCATATGGCTTCTGCATTGGTCTCTTCAGACTTTGCACCAAAATTGTGACCTGAAGGAATGGTTCTCAGGTTTTTTTGAGATGTCCAATTTTGAAATGACAGAGGGCACGTGGAGAAAGAGCCATTGCTTCTCTCACTTTTCAAACCTGCCATTGGTGGCAAGTTCTGCTTTTTGATCTTTGGTAGATAATAAATAGTTCCACCTTGGTGGTGTGTATAGTACTTTCATTATAAGGACATAATTTATTTAAAAAGAATGATCTTTGCTATAAGAATCCTTATTTTCAGTGTAATGGTGACTTTGTAAGACTCTTTCTTCACTCTTTTTTCAATATTTAAACTTACCCCGGGACTCCTTTCTCCTGAAATCATATTCAAATCACAGTAACAGAAAAACCTCTCTGGAAAGTTGAGGAACACACTTGCATACAATGAAGGCTTTGGTACGGATGTAATCCTTGAACCTGGCTGAACCTGTACTTGTACGAATAAGTGGGCAGGCTTAAAAAGTAGCACGTACACGATTATTTTAAGGAAAAAAAACCCAACAAACCCCAAACCAAAAAACTTAGTTCTTGTAAGCCTGTTAAATATGAGTGCTAAGTTGGAGTATTCAGACCTCAGGTAGACAAGAGCATCTCTGGCATATCTTGCATCTTGCATCAGATGATATCACTGGGTCTTGTTTTGTTTCATGATGGAAGCACAACAAGTGTGGTCACAAATACTTTCCAAAATTCAATCAGCAAAGGCAAAGGGAATCCCCATCCTGGTCACCACCCCTTTCCCATAATTGCTGTCCGGCCTTAGCATATGAAATAAATCACTAACGAACTCTGCGCTCTCTCTGCATTCCAGGTCATTTCTCACTATCAGTGCAAAGAACAGCGGGACGTCCACAGATTCGAGAAAATCAGCAACATTATTAAACAATTCAAGCTTAGTTGCAGGTAAGCTGGGTCAGCCATCGGGTGAGAAGATCATTTTGGCTTCGTCCAGAACCACAGAGGCTCAGCAAGATGAGATGCTGCAGTTAAATTGCACCGTGCTTAAACACAGCCGAGCCAATTTTTATCCTTTAACTTCCTTGAGTGGTGGAAGAGGTTTGTTTTGAAACAGACACTTTCTCCTGTGCAAGGATTTCCAGGACTGAGCTGATAAATTGGTTGTGGTGCTGGGGAAGGTGGAGAGCTTCGCTTTGGACCCCACACCGTGGTGCTGGTTTGGGAGTGTTGTGGTTTAGAAAGTTAGTTCTATTTAGCCCAAACTGGGACAGGAAGGAAGGGGCTTGCAGACACCATCTATCAGTATTTTGGATGGCAAAGTGGAAAGCTTGCTTTGGAGAAGCTTGGCTTTCGGACAGCCTCCAGGCTCCACGCCTGTTGGTAATACCTGAACAGGATGGAGAAGTGACTGCGTGGTTTACGGAGCCATCTCCAGATATTTCGGTTTTATACTTGTTTCTGCTGGTTATCCACAGTGTTCAGCTGTCCTCAATGGCTGAGCTGGTGCATCCCTGTCCACTGCTTGGACACAGCAGGCTCAAACTGTCAGTGGGGCTGTGTACCTCGAGTTACCTTCACCATTCAATGTGCAAATCACTTTATAGTGTTCTCATTTAGCCTAAAGCTAAAAAAACCAAACCCAAACAAAAAAAAAAACCCAGAACAAAACCAAAAGCCCATCAACAGCAAACCCATAAACCTCCCCCCAAAAAAAACAGCCAAACTTGTAGTCACACCTGGTGCTGGTGGGGACTCAACCACTCCTTCGTTACCAACAACTCTACGGGATTTTGGCTGTGTGGACACAAAAGTTTGAGCAATGTTAAGGTAATGGTTCATTTACTAATTTTCCCCTTTCTTTCTGTTTTTTTTCCTGCTTTTTTAGTAAGCTGGCAGCTTCTTTCCAGAGCATGGAGGTCAGGAACTCTAACTTTGCTGCTTTCATTGACATCTTCACATCAAACACATACGTGATGGTGGTTATGTCAGACCCTTCCATACGTAAGTTGAAGCAAAGCCTCTGGCTTGGTTTTGTTTGCAGGGACAAATGAGTCTACTGTAAACTGTGTTTCTCTTGAAAAATGCCCAACACCAGGCAAAGTATATAACAAAATTAGCTTTGAATTGTAATTAAAAGATAAGGAGGGATCTGCTGTCCAAGCAGAAGGTGGGGGCCGTTGACAGCTGAGATTTGTCGCTGTAAAGCGGAGACCGCAGCAGCGATGAGGAACCACGCTGACAGATGTGACCTGATTTGGGAGGTCATCTCGAAGAACCTATTTTGGGCTGTTCTGATCTGGCAGCCCCAGCAATTTTTTTTTTTTTTTGGAGAGGAAGCAGAGTTTCTGGTGGGTAAGGACTCTAATTATAGCAGCGTCTGTTTGTCTTAAAGAAGCTGCGGGCAGCAGTGCCAGCCTTGCACACACACACAAATATATATATATATTTATTTATTTA